CTCTTGTTCCACCTTCTGTCTCTGTGAATTTGCCTGTTCTAGCTCCCTCCTATAAATGGAATCATAAAATTGTTTCCTTCTGTGTCTGGCGTCTTCTCCTTAACATAACATTTTCAAGTTTCACCTGTGCTATAGTATGTGTCAATATGTCATTCCTTCAATAGTTGAACATTCCATTGCATGTATATGACATGTTTCAGTTTATCCAAACCTCTGATGATGGGTGCAAGGTGGTTTTCACAAGAATCAAAAACAAAGCATCTGATGTGAATGTTACCACAAATAAAAAACAAACCAAGCAAACGAATGAAGCATCTGGCAAACAGTAGGCTCTTTAATATTAATGTCTTTTTTTTCACTTCGTTTTATCATATTTTTGCACCACATAGCAGGGCAATGGCAAGACAAAAACAGTACAACCATCTAACATATTTATCAGCTATGCTTTTTGAGATATTATTGGATTTACAACTACATTTATCATCTTAAAAGAATGATGAAGAGCATCCCAATAAATAATCTGTAATTACACTAACACTACTTTCTTCAGGTTTAGCTTCAAAACCTAGCTCAAGTTATTCCAACCAAGAATTCATTAATGGTAACTAAACCCCTTTTGATTAAAAGATGTATTCGTCCCCTAAATTTCGGTACAACTCGATCAATTTCAACACAAATTAAGCAGACACTATATGCCAGGTATATCCAGATGATCCATCAAGCTTCTCTCTGGCTGCCTGAAATATCAAATACGAAAACCAACAGTCACATCTAAAGCATATCCAATTTTCAGTATCTTAGAGTGTTAATAACTAGGAGAGACCATGGAACTTGTACACCTTGATAACTATTTTTCATTGTAACCACTGCCAGTCAGGGAGAAAAATACCTTCCAAAGGTCTTCACAACATGAATATATCCTGTTCGCTTTGCAAGTTGCTTTGTCACAACATTTCCCTACATTTTCAGGATTTCCTTTATTCATTCAACTATTAATCCCTGCTCTCTAGCAACTCAGGTGAGCAGAGAAAACTGAGAGAGAGCCCCTGCCTGAAGGCACTTCAGAGTGAAGGGGGGGAGGCACCAGCAAGTGACTGCAACTGGATACAGGCTACAGCAAAGGTACCAACCAAGCCCTTCAGAGACACGGAGGGCCTCCAGCAGGTGAAGCTTTCTCCGAACCTAATAAGCTGTTCCTCTCCTGCTCTCCCCAAACTGCACATTTCACCTGCCCACGTAGAATTTCTTCATCATTCACAGAAAATGTTTTCTTCATCTGTACAGACATAAAGACTGCAAGGCAGATCCATAAATCATTTCCAACCGACCCCAGAATGCATTAGATCGTCAGAGGACTTTTCCTTGCTGTTAGTTTTTTAAAAGCAGATCAACTTTCTTAATCACTTCTTTAGGCCAAGCGAGAAACTAATTCAGACTCCTGGATCATGCCAGCTCAAAGGATGGGGGATATCCTGGAAAACCCCATGTAACCTGGGGATATCTGCCTACACATTTTTAGCGGTCAACACAAAGATAACCACTTTTATGTATGCATGCAAGGCAAAGCTGGTATAAGCGGATTTGAGCTTTTTTCTTTGACTACACTAAATCAACAAGTGTGGTTTTTTATTACTGCTATTTAAACTAAATACATTCTCAATTCAAACACAAAGAATTTAAAACCAATTCCCCCAAAAAACTTTTCAAACAAAATCTTATGGCAAGTACAAAGACAGTAATTATCAAATATAATGTACACAAGATGGGAAAAACTGGAATTCTGTATCCTAAAAGATTCAAATTTCTGCCAAAATCTGCATAACTAGCTCATCTCATAACAATGGGCAAGATTATCAACAGGACTTTTTAACATATAATTACCAACAACTAATATAAATGTAGACAATACTTAGGAACAGCACCTGGAATGTCAGTTCAGTGATGTCGAACACTGCAAAATGTGTAATACTTTTAGACCGCATTTCTTTGTCTCCATTTTTTTGAAACCGTAAGATAGAAGGCTGCACATTAAATCAACAGATAAAACAATGCAAATAAGAAGAGTGCCTAAGTGTTTCTAAATTTCGTTCATTTGAATACGTTCACTTTTCACAAAAATTACTATTTAAAATGCCATTTTCCTAAGCGTTTCCAGGACTTTAAACATTACATTCTCTAACACATCTCCAAAAAGAGAATAGGATTCTTTATATCTAAGACTAAAACCCCATCTATTCCTAACTTTAGGGAATAGGAAAAGGAAATTAAAATGTATCTTGAATACTTTCGTTTTCTTGCAAATAAAATGATCAATAGTTAGGTTTACACACTTGCTCTACATTTTATCTCCAAACATAAAATAGTTGCTAATGGTCATGAATAAAGAGTAATAGAAAATAAACTCCACAACCACCCCCCGCCCCCAGCTCCCTGGTGATCTAAGGGTTAGTATCCCACCCGCTCCATCTCAAACCCCCCTAGAAGTATAGACTACATTCACCTGTGTTAGCATTAGTGTTTTTTAAAAGCTTTTTTAAACTGTTGTTTTAAATGTTGTTTTATGTGACACTGAAACGCCACAAAATTAAGCTGACAACGACCTTTAAAACCCAGCAAGCAAACCCTGAAGCATTTAAAACATTTTTAAATACCAAAGACATCTTTATTTCCAAATGAATTAAAATTTTACAGATCCTGTGCGACAAACAAAGGAAGTTTAGCTTAACTGCGGACAGCACACGTTCGATTTCTTAGGCAACAAACATTTCTGCAGCCAGTCTTTTCTGACTCAACAAAGCTATTGTTCACGGAAAACAAGACCAATTAATGAGAAACTGCTAACCATACCATCCAAACACACGTTTAGCATAAGCGTTTTCTTTGGACCGACTCTTTCTACCATCTCTTCCCCGTTCATCCCCTAGGGATTTGGGGAACAATCGCTCTTCACTAAATGACAGCTGATTTCGTTAGCACCTGTCGCCAGTATCAATTGTATCACACGAGTTGGCCAAAACAGCCTGGACAGTTTTTTGGGGTTTTTTTCGTAAGATGATGATTTCTTCAGAAAGTGGGGATTCACCAGGCGTGAGTTCACGAAGTTTTCCAAAATACCGCGCTTCTCCATCCCTCCCGTTCTTCACAAAGTGACCCTGCGGCACCGACTTTGGGGGGTCGGAGATGGGGGTGGGGGACCCACAAGGACGCGGGAACTCGACAGAAAGACCTCCGTAACTAACAAAACCGGGGAGGTCGGGGAAGCGGGGAGAACAGCGCAACCCTTGCCTTAAACTTAACCAAGAGCCCCGCCGAGAAGACGGAGGCGGCCGGGGACCGCCTGGTCCGAGCGGGGCTCGGGGACGCGGGGCTCCGGGGCGGCTTTCCGCGGAAATGTCAGCAAGCGCGGCCGCCCGAGTCCGGTCTCCGCGCGCCGTCCCGGCCCCCGCGGCCCCGGGCCGAGCCTGCGCGCTAGCGGGGAGGGGGCGTGGGGCCGAGCCCGCCCGCCCGCTCCCCACGCCCCCTCTCCCGCCCGCTGTCAGGCCCCGGTGTCACTGCCCCTGACTCGCGCCGAGCTCCCCCGAGACACAGTCCGTTCTTTGTCTGTGAGTGCGCACTCGGCGCCGAGGTCCCATCAACTTGTGTGCGTCCCGTCCCACCCGGGCGCTCCCGCCACCGCGCCGCTCCACACAAAGGAGACCGGGGCTCGGGCGGCCGGCCCGCCCCGGGCACCGGAGCGCCCCCAGCCCGGCCCCGGCGCCTCGGGAGGGGCTGGCGCGCGAGGGGACCACCCCCCACCCTCCGCTCGGCGCCCGCCCGGGCTCCCGCCTCAGGTTTCTCTGGCTCCCACACAGCTCGCCCGCGGGGGTCGCGCGGGTCGGCCCGGACCCACAGCCCCTTCCGAAGGGGGTGAGGGGCGGTCTCTTCTTACCCCCCACGAGTCCCAGAGAAACCCCGGGAAAGCCCGCTCGGGGGTGGGGGGAATTATCCGGACCGGCTGAGCGGCAGCGGGGATGTCCCGCCGCCGCCGCCCCACGCCGAGCTCCGGAGCCCGGCCGACTGGCGCAGTTCGTCGATCTTGCCTAGGAAACCGAAGAGGGTCCGCATCTGCTCAGAGCTAGCGCTCGGGGAGACATTAGTCACCTGGATTACCTCGCCGCCGCCGCCTCCGCCGCCGCCGCCGGGGCTCCACCGCCTTCTGCGTCCCAGTGGGTGTCGGACGCTCCCGGACCGAGCGCCAAACCGGGCAGCCCAATCGCCATCGCTTTTATTTGGCCCCCCCGTCCAACCAAGCGCCGCCCCGATTGGCGGGACGCGAGGCGGGCTCCCGTCCAATCACAGGGCCCGCCGGGCTCGGAGGCGCCGAGCCAGCCCCACGCAGAGGCGCCCGCGGGACTCGGCCGGGCCGGGCCGGCGGCGCGTGCGCGCGGGCGGGCAGGCGCCGAGGGACGCTGCCGCCCGAGTGGAAGCGCCGCGCCGGCTCTTTGTTCTTTTCGCCGAACGCCCGGCGCCTCTCAGGAAGGCGGCGGGTCCGGCGCTCGAGGAAGAAGGGCCTCCAGAGCCCGATTCCCCGAACCGCGGGCGGGAAGGCGGGGTGGCGGGAACCGGCCGGAGGGCGGGACGGCGCGCTCGCGGCGCTTGGCGGGAACCGCCGCCTCGGTGTTCCCGGGCCGGAGGGGCGGGGCGGGGCCGAAAGCCAAGTTTGAACCAGTTCAAAACTCGGGGGTGGTAACGGTTTCAACCGCCGCGCTCTTTTTCAACGCGCGCGCAGCGGAGGCCCCGGCCGGCTGGCCGGCCGGCGGGCGGGAGGCGCCGGACGTGAGGGCCCGCAGCGCCCCGTCTGCGGGCCAGACGCCCTCTACGGCCCCAGCTCCAGCCGGGCTAGTCTCAGGCGAGGAGCAGCGAGCCTCCCGCGCTGCGGCAGGGCCGGTGCGCCGTCCCCCGAGCCGAGCGGAGCGCCCTGCCCGCTACTTTTGTCTGCTGCCGCCCCTCGGCCGCTTGGCCCGACTCGGGTCCCACGTCCCGCTGGACTTTGGCTAGTGGATCCCGCAGTGCCCATAGCCTTAGAAACCCTGGGAAAGAGAGAAGTCACGATTATTTCAAATTCCTCATTCAGAGCGCCTTGTTCAGACCCTTTCCAGTGCTTGTAGTGCCAAGCACGTGTCAGCGTTGAAAATTCATTTATCAAGGATGCGTGCCGTTCACGTCCCTCGCGCTAACTTCTATACAAAGTATTACGATTCCAGCATTTTTCAGGTATTAAAAAAAAAGATCATGGGGTGAGCCTGTCTCGACCCAGCGGAGTTAGGAATATTTCACTTAGGATATAGTCGCCCCTTTTGATTTATCTGGCAGTGAAGTTAAGGTTATCCCGATTTTTTTTTAATAGGATGCAGCTATTGGGCAGAGTAACCCCCTCACCCACATAAACTGAGATTCCATATTGAGAGTTCACGTGTGGAGCGGGGAAGACGGTCACTTATGAGCTTGAGTTAAAAGTCTAACGGAATCATGCTTTTAGTATTTTATTTAATTTTTAAATGACTAAGATTCTTAATAACTATTCGCTCGCTTTGTGTTCCTAGAGACTAGAACAGTCATTTAACCCATTGATCTACCGCCTTTTCCTAAGTCACCATTCCGTTCCTCACATAAAGTATGAAACTTAAAAGTCGCACAGTAGTGTCCGACTCTGCGATCCCATGGACTGTAGCTTGCCGTGCTCCTCTGTCCATGGAATTCTCCAGGCAAGAATACTGGAGTGAGTAAATCAAAAGACAGAAAACAATCATGTGCCCAAATAAAAGCATGAATAAATGATAATAGAGCAAAAGCAAGTTATGCATCTGAGTGCGTGTGTGCTCAGTCGTATCGGATTCTGCCCACCCTATGGACTGTAGCCCACCAGGCTGTCCATGTGTGTGCTCAGTCGTATCGGATTCTGCCCACCCTATGGACTGTAGCCCACCAGGCTGTCCATGGGATTTCCCCCAAAAGACAGAAAACAATCATGTGCCCAAATAAAAGCATGAATAAATGATAATAGAGCAAAAGCAAGTTATGCATCTGAGTGCGTGTGTGCTCAGTCGTATCGGATTCTGCCCACCCTATGGACTGTAGCCCACCAGGCTGTCCATGTGTGTGCTCAGTCGTATCGGATTCTGCCCACCCTATGGACTGTAGCCCACCAGGCTGTCCATGGGATTTCCCCGGCAAGAATACTGGAGTGGGTTGCCATCTCCTCCTCCAGTGTATCTTCCTGACCCAGGGATTGAACCTGAGTCTCCTGCCTCTCAGCCATTGGCAGGTGGATTCTTAACCACTGAGCCACCTGGGAAGCCCTATGCATCTGGGATGTAACTATAAGGTAATGTAACAATTCCACCTGTCTTATACCGGACATTCATAGTCCATGGTACAAGACTTCCATCTAGACCATTAATTTACAATTGCTTAACCATTTACATCTCAAAAGTTAACTTTATGCCTAAATCACTTATCAAATTACTGATTTTACCTTTTATGTTAAAACAATGTGGGCATTTTTTTAAAGAAAAAGGAAATTACATTAGCAGAGATTATAAGCAAATCCAAGCAATATACAAACACAGCATATCATGAAATCTCATGTGAGTTGCTAAGGCATTTAGAATCAAGAAATGATGTTGGATCAAGATGTCCCCCCCCACCCCCCGCCAAAAAAAATACCTCAGGAAAGGATATTTTAGCCAAGACTGTAAAGAAAGCATAAGATTTAGATTGATGGGGTAGTGAGGGCACTTGAGAACAAGCATGTACTCCTCAGGATTACATGGAGTATAATTAGAGCTGAGAACTCCAGTTGGCAAAGAGTGAGAGAGCAAATTAAGAGAGCCAATATTGTAGAATTTATATTTACAATACATATTTATGTTAAATATAATACGACGGCTGACCTGGAGCAGGAAGTGGGGGTGCCAGTGGACTACAATAGTCTTAATTCAGGGATAACATTGTCCAGTTAAGCAAGATGTTTTAGGTTACAGTGTGGCAAAAAAAGAGGATACATTGAAAACATTGCCAAAAGACCTCATTATATATGGAGGACATATGTTATTGTGCAACTCAACTTTGTATATTCACAAATACAGGAAGATTGGGAGGAAGAAGTATTTCATTTTTGATATTAAGAAAAATTAAAGATTTCCAAGCTGGGAAAGCAAGAAAGCATGTGTGAACCCCCAATTATTGGGTGTGAACCCCAAATTACTAAAGGGACCTAGGTGAAGCAGAAAACCAGGTTGAACACAAAGGTAGATATGAGCAGTAAGAGTCACCAAGCATTTTTACCTCTGTGAAGATGCTCAGAGGACAGTTATGCTCCTAATGACAGGTCATCATGTCCTCTGTAAAAGAGAGATTCACTATTACAGGATAAAACCAAAAGGTGGAGAATCAAACTCTGAAGTCAGGATATAGATCTACCTTATTCACTGCTCTTCTCCCAGGGCCCACCATTGCACTCAGTATATCACCAGGGTTTTCCAGGGGGAAGGACAGGAGAAGGTCAAGTGCAAAATTAAGGTTTATTGGCATCACAGAACTTCCCTTTCAAGCCCACAAATGGGATCTACTTCTCACACATTCATTTGTTCACCTTGCACCCAAATATGGAGGGCTTACTACGTGAAAGCACTGTTCCGGGGTCTAGAAATACAATGTGAGCAAAACAAAAGTCCCTGCCTTGGTGGAGAGAAACAAGCCATAAATTATACAGGATATGAGGTGGTGGCAAGTACAATGGAGAAAAACAGTGTGAAAGGAGAGAAGTGAGTGTTCAGTTCAGTTGCTCAGTCATGTCCGACTCTTGGTGACCCTGTGAACCGCAGCACGCCAGGCCTCCCTGTCCATCACCAGCTCCCAGAGTTTACCCAAACCCATGTTCACTGAGTCAGTGATGCCATCCAACCATCCAACCGTCCCCTTCTCCTCCCGCCCTCAATCTTTCCCAGGAGTGAGTGTAAATGCTGCCATTTTAAAACCACTTAGTCAGGGAAGGTCTCACTGAGAAGATGACATTTGAAGAAAAACTTGGGGACTTCCTTGGTTTAGTGCTTAGGACTCTGCAGATCCACTGCAGGGGACACGGGTTCGATCCCTGGTCGAGGAACTGAGATTCCGAGTGTCTCGTGGCATGGCCAAAATAAATAAGTAAATAAATACTTAAAATGGTCAGAGTCAACATTTATAAAAGAAGAAGACTGAAAACAGGAAAACTTGGAGGTGAAGGAGCACTTCCTGATAAAGATGTTCAAAGGAGAGGGGACGGCAGGTACCTGGCCCTGACGTGGGCGACTGCCTGGTGTTCTGGGGGGATGGAGGGAATCAAGCAGAAGGTGAGGGAGCACAGGCAGCTCTTCTCGGGCCTGTGGACACTGTGAGGACTGGACTTCAGCGACAGGATGGGGAGCAGAAACGTGATCTGATCATTCAAACGAGAGCCTCTGTCTGCTGTGCTGAAAGCAGCCCGGAGCGGAGCAGGGCCAGATCAGAGAGAACAGTCAGGGGTCTGTTGTCATAACCCAGGCAAGAAAAGATTGTGACTGGGAAAGAAAGTGGTGACGGGGAGCTGGTGAGAAGTGGTAGATCCCGGGTGTGTCTGGAAAGAACAGCCAGTGGGAGCGAGTAGAGATTTGAAGATCAGAGTTCAGTTTGGGACAGAGTGAGTCTGAGATGCCTGTTTTCAACCAAATTGAGATATCAAGTAGGTGGTGAGTTACGGATGGGAGGAAACACTTGTCCTCTACCAATTTAGGACCGGGTTACCAGTGCCAGCAAATTAATTGATGGCAGATTAACAGGATAAATTTTTAATATGCCTGCAGGAGAACTTCTACAGAGAGAGTAGTTCCCCAAACGGCACAAGGTAAAGGTTTATATACCAGCTTAACAAAGGGCACGGGCACAGGGGAGGGGTAAGTCTTCCAAGGATGGAGGTTCTGATGAGGCTTGTTTAAATGATTTTTTTTTTTTCTTCTGGAATGTCCCAGTGCCTGAAGTAAGTCACTTCCCTGATGGGAGACTTGCTGGGGAAAGGGGGGGGGGGCGGGGAGGGCATGTAGCTGACTCTCATGAAGCTCTTGGTTTAGTCAGATGAGGGGAGCCTGATAAGTTCTTTCAGCATCTGTTAGACTCAGATGTTCCCACTCTGGAGTCATCTTTATAGCATTTTGGCAGGGGGCGGAGGGTGGGGTGGGGGCGGGTTGCTGCCCTAGGACTTTGCTGCTGCACATGGACTTTGTAGTTGTGGCTCCCAGACTTAGTTGCCCCGTGGCATTGTGGGAATCTCAGTTCCCTGATCATCAGTCAGCCCTGTGTCCCCTGCATTGGAAAGCATATTCCTAGCCACTGGACCACCAGGAAAGCCCCTATACCATTTCTGTTATTAAAAAATTGTTTTTCATTACAGGAGTCTGGAGTTAGGGGCGAGGCTGCGCCTAGGAATGTAAGTTTAGGGATCACCAGCATATAAATGGCGTTTAAAATCAAGAGACTAAAGGCAGACAGAAAAGTTGAAGGTCTTGTTCTACTGTGACGTTTGTGGTGATGAGGAGACACCAGTGAAGACAGAGGGAACAACCAGTCAAGTGGGAAAGTGCGGCAGCCTGGAAGCCTCGGTGTCTGAGAGAGGAGAGTAACCACCGCATGCTAAGTAAGATGTCTGAGACTTAACCCTCAGATTTAACAACATGGAGGCCACTGGTGATGCTGAGAGCACACTTTCAGTAGACTGGTTGGAGTGGATTTCGTAGCGAGTGAAAATTGGACATAACAATTGTAGCCAACCCTCTCAAGGACTTTACTTAAAAAAAAAAAAAAGGAGAGGAAATAGAGCTAGAACAGTAAGTGGGATTGAAAGATTTTAAAATCTTTAAGAGAAATACCACATTGGTATTCTGATGAGAGATCTAGTGAAGATGAGAAAACTGATGATTCAGGAAAGACGGCGTATTGCTGGAGCAACATCCTGGGGTGTTAGAAGAGATGGAGTCCAGACCAGGTGAAAGGAGATCAGTCCTGGAGCCTGAGTGGAGGACTTGGCCTCTGCTAGGTCATGGCCAGGAGAGAAGGCAAACTACATGGTTGCAAATGCAGGTATGTGGGTGGATTTAGTGAATTTGGTGCGTGTTTTCATATGACTGCAACAGACACCCATGGGTAATGACCTGACTGAGAAGAGGCAGTATGTATATGAGTATGCAGTTTGATAGGGGGAAAAAAACTATGTTTAGACCATTATATTCCAGCATCACATTTTTATCAGTTCTCCCTTCTTGGTCTTAATGTCTCAGCCCTGACAGAAGTAGAAAACTGATTATTTTGGTTTTAGACATAGAGAATACAGAGCAAAAGTGAAAAAACTAAAAGTTTTTGGAGAACAAATGAAAAGCCACGGGATATAAAATCTGTGTGAGAGATTTAAGCTTGTCAACAGAGGGGCAGCAACTGGAGGCCTCAGAAAGATGACCTCTAATAGAGAACAAGAGTGGCCTTGTACTGCAGGCTGGAAAACACCCGGGGCTGAGGCTGGGGAAAGTGTGGCACAGAGGGCTAGCTTAATTAAAAATTATAGCATAATTTGGTCATGATTTAAATGAGTCTGACCTTTGCAGAACAAGGCTGAAATAGTCACCTCTAGAAAGCCAGAGGGGGAAGTGGTAGGCAGCCTCTAAAATGCTCCCAGGCATTACGGCCTCTTGGTGTTCACACCCTTGTGTAATCTCCCCTTGAGTGTGGCTGGACCCACTGGCTGATTCACTTCTAATTAATAGAATATGGCCACAAGAGTAATGGGATGTCACTTCTATAATTAGGACCACCCTCCCCCCCACCTCCTTCTCTCTCTCTCTCTCATTTCTTGCTCTGCCTGAAACAAGCTGTCACATCAATTTTCTCTCTCCTACCTCTACCACCCTTAATTCCAGCCATATTGTATTGATACTACTCAATATCTCAAACACAAATTCAGCTAAATTGATCAGCTGTTACCATTTTACTTTGACATTTATAAGAGAAAGTTGATCAAGTCAAATGGATAGATTAATATAGATTTAAACATTTAGGATATCTAGAAATTATCTAGAAATTATTTCAAATCCTAAAAGATGATGCTGTTAAAGTGCTACACTCAATATGCCAGCAAATTTGGAAAACTCAGCAGTGGCTGCAGGACTGAAAAAGGTCAGTTTTCCTTCCAATCCCAAAAAAAGGCAATGCCAAAGACTGTTCAGACTACCGCACAATTGCATTTAGCTCACACACTAGCAAAATAATGCTCAAAATTCTCCAAGTGAGGCTTCAACAGTGCATGAACTTCCAGATGTACACGTTGGATTTAGAAAAGGCAGAGGAATCAAAGATCAATTTGCCAACATCCTTTGGATCATAGAAAAAGCAAGAGAATTCCAGAAAAACATCTACTTCTGCTTTATCGACTGCACCAAAGCCTTTGACTGTGTGGATCACAACAAACTGTGGAAAATTCTTATAGAGATGGGAATACCAGACTACCTGACCTGTCTCCTGAGAAATCTGTATGCAAGTCAAGAAGCAACAGTTAGAACCAGATATGGAACAATGGACTGGTTCCAAAGCAGGAAAGGAATACATCAAGTCTGTACATTGTCACCCTGCTTATTTAACTTATATGCAGAGTACATCATGCGAAATGCCAGGCTGGAGGAAGCACAAACCGGAATCAAGATTGCTGAGAGAAGTATCAATAACCTCAGATATGCAGATGACACCACTCTTACAGCAGAAAACAAAGAGGAACTAAGGAGCTTCTGGATGAAAGTGAAAGAGGAGAGTGAAAAAGCTGGCTTAAAACTCAACATTCAAAAAACTAAGATCATGGCATCCCGTCCCATCATCTCATGGCAAATAGATGGGGAAACAATGGAAACAGTGACTTTATTTTCTTGGGCTCCAAAATCACTGCAGATAGTGACTGCAGTCATGAAATTAAAACACACTTGCTCCTTGGAAGGAAAGCTATGACCAACCTAGACAGCATATTAAAAAGCAGGGACATTACTTTGCCAACAAAGGTCCATCTAGTCAAAGCTATGGTTTTTCCCATAATCATGTATGGATGTGAGAGTTGGAACATAAAGAAAGCTGAGTGTTAAAGAATTGATGCTTTTGAACTGTGATGTTGGAGAAGACTCTTGAGAGTCCCTTGGACAGCAAGGAGATCAAACCAGTCAATCTTCAAGGAAATCAGTCCTGAATATTCATTGGAAGGACTGATGCTGTAGCTGAAGCTCCAATACTTTGGCCATCTGATGCAAAGAACTGACTCATTGGAAAAGACCCTGATGCTGGGAAAGGTTGAAGGCAGAAGGAGAAGGGGATGTCAGAGGATGAAATGGTTGGATGGCATCACCGACTCGATGGACACGAGTTTGAGCATGCTCCAGGAGTTGGTGATGGGCAGGGAAACCTGGCGTGCTGTAGTCCATGGGGTCGCAAACAGTCAGACACGACTAAGCGACTAAACTGAACTGAACTGAGAAATTATCTGAGAGTTGTAAAGGAATCCAAGTATGAAACTGAGGAACACTTGGCCAAAATATGACTACAAATGACCCCTGGGTAAAATATCATTTTACAAATATGAAATTTCTCCTACAAACGAGGACTGAGGATTTGGGGAAGTTGAGAACTGATAACTCTTACTTACCATTGACTTTGGACTATAACAAGAGAAATGATCAATAAAGACTAAAATATATAATAGGAAAGAGAACATGGTTTTAGCAAGGGATAAGAGCTAAAAAGGAAAAAACAAAACTGATCACATGATTGTATACATAGATACTCCAAAATAATCTTCAGATATTAGAATTAATGAGTGAAGTTAGCAAGGTCACTGGATACAAGGTTAGTTTACAAAAATCAATTTCTATATACCAACAATAAACAAAGAGGAAATTAAACCCTTAAAATAAAACCATTTACCTTTTGAAAAACAAACACCTAATAATAAATCTGATGAAAATGCACCAAACCTATATACTGAATATTACAAAATTATATTGAGGAGAACTTTTACAAGACCTAAGTAAATAGAATGTCATTTCTGTGACTTAAGAAACTGCCTAGATTCAACACAGTGCCAATCAGAATCCCAGGAAGGTTTATGGGGGTGTGAGTGTGTTTGTGTCTCTGTGTGTAACTTGCCAAGCTGATTCTAAAATATATGTGAAATGCAAAAGGCTGAGAAGAGCCAAGACAGTCTTGAAGAAGAAGAATGAAGCCTGGAGACTTCACTGCCAGATATCAAAATCTAGCTTTTCAAAGCTATGGTAATCAAGCCAGTGATATTAACACAAAGATGGACAAATGGACCTGTGAGGAACAACACAAACATCCAGAAATAGACCCATATCTAAAGGTTGCCTGATTTATAACAGAGGTGTCCAGCACTGCAGTGGAGAAGGGCAAGTCTTTTCAACAGTTGGTCGTGGATATCCTCAGGGGGAAAAATCTTGGCCTCTACCTCTTACCAGATGGGTTACTGATTTAAATGTGGAAGAAAACTCAGAGAAACATTGTTATGATCTTGAAGTAGGCATAAAGTGCTTAAACAAGATGCAGAAAGTACTCATCATAATAAAAAAAATGATAAAGTGAACTATATTATAATCAAGAACTTCTGTTCTTCAGAAGACAACATTAAGATATTCAAAAGGCAGGCCAAATAATAGATCCACTATACTCGTATCTGACGAAAGCCTTATCAATAGATCATATAAAGAACTCCTACAAGACAATTTGAAAAAGAAGACAAAATGTTAGAATGTGATCAAACACAATCCACCTTACACTAGCACTCTGAAAGAGTAAATGTACAAATGTCTAATAAGTATAAAAAGGTACTCAATTTCACTACTTACCAGAGAAATGGAAATAAAACCATAATGTAATACCACTACAGACATACCAGAATAGCTAAAACAAAAAGAAATACAGACGATACCAAGTGTTAGCAAGGATGTGAAACCACCAAAATCCTTATACACTGAATCAGGACTATAGGACTATAAATTGGTACAACCACTTTGAAAAATTGAGAGTTAGTAGCTGCAAAGTTTGAACAAACATTGAATACTCAATAAATAGCATTCTACTCCAAGGTCTACATCTATCAGGTAGGTACATCTGTATGTATATTTACCAAAACACGCACACAAGAATATTCAAGGGTTTCCCTGGTGGCTCAGTGGTAAAGAATCCACCTGCCTTTGTAGGAGACACGGGTTCAACCCTGATCTGGGAAGATTCCACATGCTGCAGAACAACTAAGCCCGTGTGCCACAACTATTGAGCCTCTGCTCTAGAGCCCGGGAGCCGTAATTACTGAGCCCACATGCCGTAACTACTAAAGCCCGAGCAACCTAGAACCCATTCTCCTCAACAACAGAGGTCACCACAAGAAGTCTGCGCATCGTAATCAGACAGTGGCCTCTGCTTGCCGCAACTAGAGAAAGCCTGCACATAGCAATGAAGAGCAAGCACAGCCAAAAATAAATCAGTAAATAAAATTATATCAAAAACATGCTAAAAAAAGTGCCAGTACTAATAGGCACAAATCAGAAACATCTAAACGTCCATGAACAGTGGAATGAATAAATTGTGGTCAGTTTACAGAATGGACTACCGTACAACAATGTAAACAAACAATCTCCAAGTACATACAAGTGAATAAGCCATTAAAAAGAATTTGTACCATATGATTTTGTTTATTTGAAATTCCTTAATGAGTAAAACATACCCATGATGTTAGAAGTCAGGACAACTGGTCATCCCTGGTGAGCTAGTGACTACAGAGAATGGGAGGGTCACTTCTGGGTGCTCAGGATGTTCTACTCTTTGATTTGGGTACTGGGTAAACAGGTGCATTTCCCTTGGTGAAAATTATTTAAGCCATTTCTATTTATATGTTATCTTTCAATAATAAGTTTTCCTTAAAATCAAGGAGAAGAGAAAGAGCCAGCAAAGAAGACTGAGGAGAGTAAACAAAGATGGAGGAAAATCAGTGTCATGTCCCCAAAGCCAGGTGAAAACAGTTGATGAAGAAGGAAGAGGTGTACCCATAATATATGAAGAACTCTAACAACTCAACAATAAAAAAAAAACAAATATCCCAAATGGTATAAATAATAGAAAGAGAAATGAAGTGTTAGTTGCTCAGTCATGCCCGAATCTTTGAGACCCCATGAACTTCAGCCCACCAGGCTCCTCGGTCTATGGGATTTTCTCCTCCTATGGGATTTTCCAGGCAAGGATACTGAAATAGGTTGCCATTTCCTTCTCCAGGGGCTCTTTCTGACCCAGGGATCGAACCCAGGTCTCTTGCACTGCAGGCAGATTCTTTACCGACTGAGCTACAAGGGAAGCCAAGACAAATAGAGGATTTGAATAGCCATTTCTCCAAAGAAGACATGTGAGTGGCTAACAGCACATGAAAAAATGGTTAATATCATCAGTCATTAAGGAAATGCAAATCAAAACCACAATGAGACACCACTTCTCACCCACTAGTATGGTAAAGATAAAAAAATTTAAAAAGACAATAACAAGTGCTAGCAAGGAGGTAGAGAAATCGGAACCCTCAGACATTGCTGGTACAGTGTAAAATGGTGCAGCCATTTGGAAAACAATCTGTCAGCTTTGCAAAATGTAAATCAGAAAGTGTTACCAGCAATTACACCCCTAGGAGCGTAATTTTCATTTCAGCCAAGAGGAATGAAAACATATAGCCACACAAAACCTTGTATATGAATATTCATAGCAACATTGTTCATAATAGCCCCAAAATAGAAACAACGCAAATTTCCATCAACTGATGAAAGGATAAAGCAAATGTGGTATATCCACATAGTGGAATATTATTCAGCAGTAATAGGAAATGAAATACTAATACATGCTACAACATGGGTGAACCTCAAAAACATTATGGTAAGGGGAAGAAACTAGACACAAAAGGCCACAATCGTATGGGGCCATTTATATAAAATGTCTAGAATGTGCAAATATACAGAGACAGAAGGTAGAGTAGTCATTGCCTGGGCCTGGAAGGGGAGGAGAGGATGGGGGAAGAGGAGTGACTGCTAAATTATACAAGGTTTTCTGAGGGACGATGGAAATGTTCTAAAATTAGATTATGGTGGTGGTGTAAACAGAACACTGTAAATACACTAAAAACCACTGAATTGTACAGTTTCAAAGGGTGAACTTTATGGTATGTAAATCACTTCTCTAAGTTTGCTTTTTTTTTTTTAAGAAGGAAGTGGTGATTACTCAGGAGAACTTGCTTAGGCACCCTTCTCACCAAAAGATCCTACTTCTAGAAAAAGGATATTTGCTCAGGTGGAAAGTTCCAGATGACTTATTTAGAGATAAAATAAATCCTCTATGCATTAATAAAGAAGACCTGTGATCCATTGGTCAAAGACCTGTGGAAAGTTGTCCGGAGGAATCAGTTGCTTGAAAATAAGGGCTTTTAAGTCCCAAAAGGCAGTAAAACATTAGTTGTCCTGGCATCAGACTTAAAAACGTTGAGGTGTCCACAAAAGAAAATACTAGAAGCATTTTCAACTACTGTACCTAAAAGGATTGAGAGGGAGATGGGGGTTGGAAAGGGAAAAGAAGAAGTTCTGCTGAAAAAAGGACCGCATCAGAGACCCCTCTGGTGGTCCAGGGGCTAAGACTCTGCACTCCCAATGCAAGGACCCAAGTTCAGTTCCTGGTTGGGGAAATAGATCCCACATGCTGCAACTAAAGATCCCACATGCTACAACTAAGACCCAGTGCAGTCAAATAAATACATGATAAAAAAATTTTTTAAAGACAGCATCAGAACAGTTTAGGCTAAAAGCTCAAACACTGAGAAGTGAATCAAGTGTTCAGATTCTCTGAAAACATATACAATCTGCATAGAGTGAATTCAGGTTTTTTCACTGAATCCCAAGATGTTTCAATTAAAAAGTACTGCCTGCATTCTCTATAACATATAATGAAAACAATTAAGAATGACTTCATTTGGTAAGTAACAAGCTAAAGAACTCATTATGTAAAAATACAGCATAATTAGACAAACATAAAAGTTTAAAATGTTTGCATAAATGTTTAAAAGTCTGAGTCACACATGACCATTAATTTATTCATTCAAAATACATTTACTTAATGTTTGCTTTCGTCCATGCCCTGCAGGAATATAGCCAGTGGAGGGAGGGGAGGGACACACAGAAGGATTCCTCAAGAAAGCAAAAGGATCATTTAAAAAAAAGAAAGAAGCAAGCAAGCAAGAGGAAAGTAAGGGAGGGAGAGAAGGAAGGATGAAAGTATAAAGGGATGAAGAGCGGAGTCAGCAATGCCAAGAGAAGATCAGGTTGGCAATGAGGCAACCCAGACCTCCTGCTCCCAAGAGCATAGTGACCTGGGTCCTTTCAGCAGCCCATTCCCACGACAGGTGGGGACAGGGGGTGTGTGTGCTAAGTCGCTTCAGTCAAGTTCGACTCGTTGCAACCCCATGGACCGTAGCCCACCAGGCTCCTCTGTCCATGGGACTCTCCAGGTAAGAAGACTGTAGTGGGTAGCCATGCCCTCCTCCAGGGGATCTGACTGGGTGGCAGGAAGTTAATACTCTTGGCCTCTAAAGGCATCATTATCTAGGATCTCAGAGGCAGTGTGTGTGACTAGAACCCTGCAGTCAGGATCAGGCTCGTGATTTCCTGAGTCTGGGGGTGGATGAGCACCAACCCTTTGGCTAGTCAGTCTTCTCAACAACAAGATCCTACACCTGATTTCTTCCACTGTTCCAAGTCCACGGTGGTGCCCTCCTCAACCTCTTGCACCTTCTTAGTAGGTTTGAGCTGCAAGGTTCCCCACACCCTTCATCCCCTCCAGCCCCTGCAGACAGATGGACAGTTCTGTTGGAAACATATGTGCTAACATACATCCAAGGAAGGCAGTTCCTCTATTGTTTTGAAGCGCTGGTTTTCTACAAGATTTCGGCAACCTTCTGACATGTTGCTTTGCAATTCTCCATGTTCTAATGACTGTTGACTGAAGACTTACTCCTACTATTCAAAGAAGAGCATGTTCCAAATCAGTATCTTTAATATAAGAAATGTTTCCAACTGCAGAAATTCATCCCTAACTTGAGGAGAAAATATTTTCCCACTGATGAAATTTATCAAACTGGTGTATCATCTTCTAGGAAGAAAAATAGTAGCAGAAATAAAGCTTCATCTGGGAACCATATGTTTCAAAACTCAACCATTTTAAACCAAGGGCAATAAATCCTTGACAGAGCGGGTTCATTCTGCAGTGTTTTCACACTCACACCACCTATGAAGCATTTGCAAAAAGTATCACTGAACTTGGAATACTGCACTAGAAAATTGACCTCACAATTTATTTTTTGAACACTTTCATACAAATACTATTCTAGGATAACCTTAAGAGAATGACTAATTGCTTAATAGTTTATTATCTTATAAATATAAAAGAAAATAATGTATCACAGTGTACACTGGCAGAAACTTCTCAGTAAAGACATTCATTATATCCATAATTTTCTTATTTTTCATATCATATTGTTTTACAAGACAATGTCCTTTTAAATTAGGCTGGGTTCCAGCAGAAAATACTTTGGCCACCTGATGCGAAGAGCTGGTTCACTGGAGAAGACCCTGATGCTGGGAATGATTGAGGGCAGGAGGAGAAGGGGACAACAGAGGATGAGATGGTTGGATGACATCATCAACTTAATGGACATGAGTTCGAGCAAATTCTGGGAGATAGCAAAAGGACAGGAAAGCCTGGTGTGCTGCCGTTCATGGGGTCACAAAGAGTCGGACTTGACTTAGCGACTGAACAACAGCAACTAGCAGAAAGCGGTAAGGTAAGTTTTTTCTACGGTATTGTCATTTCTACTCTCAAAGCATAATGATTATATGTGTTTTAATAGCATTTGCAAGAATCCACTCTAATGTCTGTTCCAGATAACTGTTTTTGTATACTGAATACCAAGCTAGCATCACTTGTTAGTATAAACAAACCAATTCTATTCTATCCAGTGGCTAACTGGACAGGGACTTATTGCATCTGCCTCTCTCTCTCTCACTGTTATTTTCTATAACATTTATGTTTGAATGTTAGCATCATTGTTTTTAAATTACTGCCTTTTTTGCAGACCCAAAAGAAATGAAAATTGCCCACAGCCTGTCTTCCAAAAAGAACCACTTTTACCATTTTGCTGCATTTGCTCTCAGTCTTGAAAGGCAACATTTCTATTTAATTTAAAAACATTTTTTCCCTTAAAAGGTATACACGCTCATTCAAGAAATCTGTGCAACGTTCTTGATAAACTTGTGTTTTTCAAGACATGCTGTTGGTGAAATACAAAGATCTGAGGAAATAGGACTTACATGTGTCGGGAGTACTAAGTAACAAAACCTTTCAGGAAGGCAGTGTGGCAGTATTTGTCATTAAATACATGTGTACCCTCTGACTAGAGACCTGTTTCTAGGGATCTTTCTTAGAAAAATTCATGTTTGCACACCTAAAGATAAGGATCATCAGTGAAACATTGTTTATAATAGAAAATTTTAAGGAATGACTTAATGTCTATCATAAGTAATTTAGTTAAATGAATTATGAGAGGTATACTATAAATATGTATTTATTTTCATATACTATAAATAATATGCAGATAGTAAGATGAATATCATTAAGTGAATAGAATTAAATTTACTTTTAAATTTCTTGGAGTAGAAATATGAGTAAACCCCCATATACTGATATTTTAAATTCTCCCAGATCCTATAAAAATGAAAATAAAAGACAAAATTAAAAAAGTGGCAACCCTGGAAATCAGATTACCCTTCTTTCCAGCATTTGTTATTGTCGCTGTCTGGTTTTTTTTTAGATTTGCTTACTTATTTTTTGGCTGTGGTGGGCCTTTGTTGCTGCACATGGGGTTTCTCTAGTTGCAGAGGGCAGCGGCTATTCTTCATCATGGTGTGCAGGCTTCTCGTTGCAGTGGCGTCCCTTACTTGGAGTAGTCTCTAGGCACTCAGGCTTCAGGAGTTGCCCCTTGTGGGCTCTGGAGCACGGGCTCACTAATTGTGGCACATGGGCTTAGTTGCTCCCCAGCAAGTGGGATCTTCCTGGACCAGGGATCAAACCTGTATCCCTTGCATTATATGATGGATTCTTCACCACCGTCAAAGAATGAAAACAACGAAGACAGCCTAAGAGACCTCTGGGACAACGTTAAACACACCCACATTCTCATTATAGGGGTCGCAGAAAGAGAAGCGAGAGAGAGAGCCCAAGAAAATATTTAAAGAGATAATAACTGAAAACTCCCCTAACATGGGAAGGGGAATAGTCAACCAAGTCCAAGAAGCACAGAAAGTCCCAAATAGGATAAACCCAAGGAAGAACACACCAAGAGACATGGTAATCCAACCGACAAAAATTAAAGATGAAGATAAAATATGAAAAAGCAACAAAAACAACAAATAACATACAAGAGAACTCCCATAAGGTTATCAGCTGATTTCTCAACAGAAACTCTACAAACCAGATGGGAATGGCATAATATATTTAAAGTGATGAAAGGGAAGAACCTACAACCAAGAATACTCCACCCACCAAGTGTCTCCTTCAGATTTGAAGGAGAAATCAAAAGCTTCACAGACAAGTAAAAGTTAACAGAATTCAGCACCACCAAACCAGCTTTACAGCAAATGCTAAAGGAACTCTTCTAGGCAGAAAACAAGAGAAGGAAAACGCCTACAAAAAATGAACCCCAAACAATTAAGAAAATGGTAATAGGATCATACATATTGACAGCCCTGCTGTCTGTTGTTCTTAATGTTTGTGTTTAGTGACTTGCCTGAATGAATCCTATAAAGATCAAAAAAAAAGTCTCCCAAGATGCAGCATGAAATGAAAAAGGTAAATCATAAAACAGTAGGTATAGTATGATCACATTTCACACTATGAGCATGATATGCACATACGTACATATATACAAAGAAGGATGCACACAAAACTGTCACGGCTGAGGAGGGAGCGTCACCCTCAGCTCTGTTGTCGTGGCTGGCCAGACTCTTTACAATAAGACTGCATTCATGTATTCTTTTTTTTTTTTTTTTTTTGGCTGCGTTAGGTCTTAGTTGCAGCCTACAGGATCTTCAGTTGGAACATGCAAACTCTTAGTTGCAGCATGTGGGATCTAGTTCCCCAACTAGGGATTGAACCCGGGCCCTTGTATTGGGAGTGTGGAGTCTTAGCCACTGGACCACCAGGGAAGCCCCTATTCTGTAATTGTAAAAAGCAAAACTGTACAATGCACTTCTTGACTAATTAGAGACCATATAATTAGAGACCATAATATTTTAAAATAGCCCTTCTGAGATTATAAAAGATATTATTATAAAATGTTCAGATATAAAAAATATATACCTCTCAAGATGAGAGATATCACCAGAGATAGTCTCTTTTATTTTATTCATATACATGTGCATATATACATATAGATACACATATATATGTATCTGTATAGCTATTACTTTAAAACAAAATTGAGATCATACTGTGTATATATTTTATATCCTATTGATTTCCTTTTTCTGTTGATTTCTTCATTTAATGTTTTATCATGACCATGTCATATGATTAGAATCTGAAATATTATTTTTAATTATGAAATAATTAAGCATACAAAAAGCATGCAGACTAACGCAGTGAAACTCCACGGACCCATCCACCCACCAGCTTCAGAAATAAACATTACAGATTATTAACTCCATTCAGGGACTTCCCTGGCAGTCAAGTGGTTAAGACACTGCACTTCCAGGGCAGGGGCCATGGGTTTGATCCCTGGTCCGGGAACTAAGATCCCACATGCTGCCCACAGCCTAAAAAAAAAATAAAAAAAATGCCCACAGCCTAAAAAAAAAATTAAAATAAAAATGTTTCCTAAAAATAAACTCCATTTGCAGGTCCTGAACCCCATTTTCCCTATTCTCTCTACAGAAGTAACACCTCAATTTGAATTTGGCCTTTGTCATTTCCACGTTTATGTTTGTATGGAACACTGTATACTATTGCTTTGCTGAAAACCTGGTTTTTAATGCTTGCTTCATGTTCTGTGTTATAGAGATGCTATAATTATTTAATGTGTCCCTTAGTAGTGAGCATTTTAGAACAAAGAGCAGTTTTACATTTCCTTTTTATGTTAAGATTGAAATAAATTGCTACAAAAAGGTACAGTCTCCTTGGGGAAAATCTGTATTATGTTCACAAACTCTGGAGCCAACCCCAGGTTTCCAGTGTCTTCTTTACCAGGCTGTGTTTTGCAAATCCACAATGACAGGAACATTGCAGGCGTGGAGAGTCAGAGAAGCAGTGAGTTACAGTGGAGATCTTCCCAATTCTGCTCTGGGTTTCTGTCTCTCTTCCTGCAGACTCCGTCAACTTGCAGCCGACACGCTGAAAGCCAGCGGCACGGGCTGTCCCCTTAGTGTCACGGAGCTGCTTGGTTTCTCTTTCCAAATTCAACTCCTTCTCCTTTATAATGTGATCACGGTACACCACCTTTTCTAATCTAACCATACTCTCCCCTTCTCTCCAGACTAAGGTTCCCCAAATAAGTCAGGCAGTCTGTCATCTGACTTGATATTTCATCAACATGACAGTCACTTCTTGGAAGCCACCATTAAGTATATCAGTCACCAGGAAGTATGACAAAATAACAATCCTTGTCTTTGAATAAACATGCCAGAATTTCTGTGTTCTCAACCAGCAGTACCCTTGAAGAAGGAATAACTTAACCCAGTCACCGCTCAAAATCTCTTTGGAAATTTTCTTTTGAAACTGCCTTCAGAAACGGAATTTCCTACATGATGACAAATCTTTTCCTTGGATGGCAGCTTCTGTTTACAAAAGCACCTCCCAGAAGTTTGGATCCAGAGCTGGGGTGACGGACCTGAGTGCCACCGCTGGTGTGAACGGGAAAGGGGCACATCGCCGGGAAAGGCGACACCAATATGGCCACATAGGCTGTTGATGAATGGTCACGCTGAATGAACCACCACGTTGAATGGTCAGCACTCCGGCCATCTTGGTTATAAAATCATTTGAACCTCACCCTGCTAAGGGCCTTGATCACCCTCCCCTTGCCTTTACCCATCTCCAAAGCATCCCCAAGATCATGCCACTCTTGTTAAAGAAGCAAAAATAAATGCTGGCTAAAGGAGTGACTGTTGGCATGAGTCACATGAAAGCACTCCTGGGTTTAAGGAATGTGCTTTACTTTCTCCCACTCATATCAAAGTATTTTTCTTAGTAATACCCTTTTAAAAGGAATTAATTCATAGAACTTAAAAGAAAATGAGACATAAGTGATTGCTGAAAGCACTTAAAAGCTCAGATTCACTTTGTTCAGATAGATGAGCAAAGAATGAGATTGAATGTGGAAGAGTTAAATTCAGACACAGAAAAAGGCTCCCCATGGACCTGAATTCTGGGGAGGGTCCTCCAGTTGCTCCATGTGCTGAATTAACAGCAGATTTCCAAAAAGAAGGCAGAACACCAAGAATCAAGGAGAGGAAAAGAAAGACTTACAGGTGACAGCGGGGACACGAAGAGCCACCTGCAGGCAGCTGTCCACAGGTAAATGAGGGGCATAGTCCGGCACCT